TACTGAGATTTCGTTAAATTTACTAGAACCCAACAAAGTTAATGACTTTTTATTGAGTTTCCAAAACACCCATACCCGTTCCCGTTTAATTGACTTTGCAGCTGAATTTTATCTACAGAATTTATTAAATTAACACTAATTGTGTTTAGACGTGTATAGGATGTCCTCACAGTTGAGGTTTTCCTTTACACGACGTGTAGATCTTGAGAAAATAAGCGGATTTTCTTAGTAGCATATACACCAATGTCTTAAGAGAACCGAGAATTGGGCACCACAAACTCGATCAAACCTGAACCAAACCGAAGCCGGTCCTGTCCTATCTCTCGATCACGTCCACAGCACCAGTACCAACGTACGTACGACTATGATGTAAATACGGGTTTTACGACAGAGCCGTATTTGGAATTTCATCTCAACTAAACAGTGAGCACTTGTTCATTTATCTTTTTTTTACTTGTTGGCTCACGTTTCACCACACATTAGCTTTGTTATATCAAGCGTCGTTGTGTCTCAAAAGGAAAACCTCAACTTTGCTGACACCCTGTAAGGTCGACTGCAATAGCCTTTGATGGTAATGGTGTGGACATGATTGTTTGGTCTTTGTTTAGCTGATGTATTCCAATATTTAACCCATATTGTTAATATATGTTTGGAAACTGGGAGTTGTCCTGATGCTTGGAAAGAAGTAATAATCCTCCCTCTAGCCAAAATAAAAAATCCGGTAACTCCTGATCATTTACGACCCGTCAGCATACCATGTTTATTTTCAAAGATATCAGAAAAGGTTGTTTATCTTCGTCTAATTGAATACTTAGAAATGAACAATATACTCCCTATCCATCAGTCTGGATTTCGTGCTGTACAGTACAGTACAACTTCTTCACTACTTCATTTGACAAATAATATCTTAAATAATATGAAAAAGCATATTAATACAGTTTTAGTTATGGTTGACTTCGCTAAGGCATTCGACACGCTTAACCATAAAATTTTGTTGAGTATGTTGAGTATGACTTTTTGGCATTCCGCTTAATTTTTTTAACTTAACTTAACTTAAGTAATCGTAAACTAAAGGTAAAGACACTTAGAGGTGTCTCATCTTCTGTGTTTCTTCAGGTGTCTCTCACGGATCTAAGTTAGGTTCCTTACTGTATTTGATATATACTTTTGATTCACATTCATGTATTGAACATTACGCTATACAAACTTACGCGGATGACACGCAGCTTGCTTTTCATCTTGACTCATTTTGATGAAGTGTCATATAAGATAAATTGTGATCTTGCCAACATAACTGATTTTTGTAAGAGAGACATGTTGAAGATTAATCCGGATGCATGTTCCTAAGCAGTTGTATAATACAGTAAGAGACAGGATTGCATTGAGCATCAACCATGAACTAATTCCTATTGTGGAACAAGCAAAAAATCGTGGTGTCATCTTCGACTCTGATATAAGATTTGTCAAATATATGTGTCATCTATCGAAGACCACCTACATTAAATTAAGACTGCTATATGCTAATAGATTCATTTTTAACTTTGAAACGCACAAGAACCTAGTTGAAAGTTTGCTATGCTTTAACTTTATATTATCCTTGTACTGACTCCATGCATCGGTGTAGGATCCAAAGATTGCAAAACAACTGCTGTAGTGGGCAAGGCAAACGGTTGATGTGTATGCCTCAAATTAGCCTGTTTTAGAGTATAAAAGTTATTCCTGTTGTAGGAATATTCTTATACATATCATGGGAGGTGGTCTACCATTATCTTATAAAAACATGGTCAGGACCAAAACCTGTCGGCATGATTTTGCTTCGAAAATGATGTGTCGGCTTTGCATTTACTACCAAGTTTTTGGAATGCCACAGGATGTCTTGCTTAGTTATTATATCGTATTCTCTCCCTTGCCCGACCATCGTGCAAGCCCAGACAGAAGCGAGATTCGTCACTAAAGGCCACCTGACTCTCTTCCCGGTCCCGTATATATCGTTCTCTACACCAGAGCAAACGGTTACGCCGATGTTCAGCTGTGAGAGGTAGCACCCGATGTGGGCGATAAGAAAAAAAGGCCAGACTGTCATTTTCGGCGATAAACCAAACGCATACCAACCATCCTTCCATGCTCTTGAAACCACTGATTAGCGATGGCTCGAGTACTACTGAATCTGTCTCTCAGAGCCTGAAGTCTTAACCTGCTGATCTGTCACTTAGCTGGGACACCCGGAGAATTCTACGCACTCTAGGCAATTTGAGCAATCACAAAAAGGCTTCTCAATAAGCTACACAAAATTTAACATTTAACTGACACTGTAAATGTACGAAAACTAAATGCTTATTTATCACCAAACAATACTTAACAGAAAAAGCCGACCATTTTATCACTTGTTACTTATGGCAAGATAAATCGATATGTAAAAAATTCTTGAATTTTAATAAACATACGTAGGTGTTTACCTTTTTCGTCACCCAGTGTACATAGCCACAGTTCACTCGGCATTATGTCAGACATATTTTAAGGATTCTGAACAGTGAATTCATCAGAGCAGAATGAAAAGTGTGCAAGCACGTTACTTACCCTGCCTTGCCTTGCATACGCTCTTTTCTGTACTCTGGTATCAACGTACCGGCCGTATTTTTCGATAAAACCACGATAAATCCTCATTTGTCTTTAGAGACGATTGTGATTTATACTACAAGGGTCTTGCTACCACTTAGACGGAACAGGCCATTTTTATATCGGAAGGAAGCCTCTCTGGCAAGATAAAACCGGTTTGCGGTTTGCATATCTGGAGAGGCTTGCATTGTTTGAGGTCCCTTGTGCTTTAGAGAGGAATATATATCACTGTGCATATAAACTTACATGGCTCTAAAGGAATAAAAATGTAAAAGTAGGTTGACTCCGCGCTTCCCATGCAACGCTGCCATCAGTGCATAAATGATTATGTTCGGCATAGGTAAGCACCTCTGAGAAGAATATTAGCTATAGACATGTATTATCAAGTCAGTTAAACAGGTCTACGTAATTATTCCGTAGTCCCCACCTATTTGACAGCGTCGAGGTCTCGAAACTTCTCCTCTGCTCTACCTACAGTACCGACCACCTGTCCACGTCGCGATGACTAGCATGGTCACTCGCCGACCGCAGTAGCCACCACCTCTTATTAGACACAGACACCCATCCATCGGCAGAGAGAGAGATACCGGTATGTCGAAAATATGTCTCTAATTTAAGGGCATATACATAGGGTGTTAGGGAAATAATATTCGTAACTGTAAGAGGTGATTCCTTGCATTATTCTAAGCAAAAAAGTTCATTATAACTTAAAAATCTATCGTTTTCAAGGGAAGTGAGTCGTAAAGAATTAAATTTTCTCAAACATTTGGCAACGCTGCAACGCAACCGCCATACGAGCGCACGACGACCGCAACTGATTCATCGAATTTTTTATGATATTTTTGTTAAAAATATGACTTGAATTATTGAATACCTTTACGAAATTGTTTATGGCTAATATCTTTTATTTAATAACGCTTTCAGTACAGTACATTTATTTAAAAAAAGAACAGAACTTGCCGGTACGTGGCGATACCCACCACCGATTCCTACGATTATCAGTCACTTATTTGAAACGTTGCGATGCACGAAAAAAGGGAAATACCAACATTCGTAAATCACATAAAGTTACAGTTTTAAATGTACTAGTAATCACATAAAGTTACAGTTAAATGTACTAGTAATCACAACCATACGCGATGATACATGCTGTGCAGGCGGAGTACAACGTTGCCAGTTGTGTGAGGGATTTTTTTGTCTGTTTTTCTTCGGAAAATTGTATTTAATAAGCAAGAAAATAATTTTTTTAGAGACAATTAATAAATGGATGTATTGATATATTTCACGCTACTCATATAAGGCATATGAATTTAAATTATTAAGGTGCAAAATTAATTTATTTCATGACTGAAAAGAAATAAGTTCAGCATTTTTTTGCCCCAAAACCGTTGATTTTCGGACATAGGTTATAATGAACTTTTTTGCTTAGAATACTGCAAGGAATCATCTCTTAAAGTTACGAATATTATTTCCCTAACACCCTGTATACTGGGAACTCTAAGATGTGTGAAACATGTCAATAAGCCGAAGTCGCCGAAACATCAAAAAACGAATTAGGAGGGCTTCTCGTTGTTTGCCCCCTAGCTCTGGTGTCACTCGACCGACTAAGTGTCTTGGATTTTCGTAGTGTACCAAGAAAGTTTCGCGATAACAATCAGCGGCGTGGAAAGTAAAGATGTTTGACATAATGTCGTTATTTTAGAACTAATTTATTATAGATCATACAAAAAACGTTAGCCGCTTTTATGTAGATATACACGATAATTTTTTAAGTTTATCTCATCAGCTTAAAATATGCTACAAAATGAGAGCCGGTAAATTTCAAGGCACCTAACCCTTAAAGAACACTATTTACTAAATTCTCAAGTGATCTGAAACCTGAGAAACGTGACAAAAGTAATGGTCAAAAACGTCTAATGTGCGATCTTATTCCCTTCTGACAATATAATACAAAATTGAGCTATCGTTTTTTTACGAAAATGCAACATAATTTTAGGATATGTCTAAAAGATATATTAGCCAGTGTTTATAAAACAGCTTCTACATGATTCGATCAGTAGAAAACATCATCAACTGCCTTGGTATTTTTGTTACAATATCCAAAAGCCTCCTAAGTTCTATTATAACCCATATTTGAAATAACTTTTTTATATCTTTTGAAAGGCTTTATTAATTCTTCCATTAAAACTAAAACACTTATTTTCAAGCTTTTATGTATTTATCGCATTGCTTTATAAATACGGTATTTGCAGTTTTCTTATTCATTTCAATAAATTATATTAAAAGATGCGTGCTGTTAACTTTTTTTTTAATCATCCGAAATTGGACTGGGTAAGGTTCTGATGTCAGTTGCAGTTATCTGAGAACGTAGAAGAAACATAGACAAAGATGAATGATTTATTCATTTTATTAAATAAATAAAGAACCTATAATAATAAAGTGAGCATTCTTGTTCAGTAACGGTGATAGTATGCCCTGGAGTAGTGAGGGAAAAACGCAGGATTGAAGAGCCTGTAAGCGTAGTAGGGATTCGAATAAGCTGCCAAACCTGAAAATAAATAGATTTTCATGAAATGCAGGGTATTTCTTAAACATGAACAAACAACCAATAGGCTATTTTGACCTCATGCTCGGATTGGTAGTCAACACACGTATTGCTCGTACACATTACAATGTCAGCGGTATTTGGTTTTCAGTGTATAAGAAAAAATTGAATGGATCAAGTCGGCCAAACAGGCTCGTACAAGACATGCATATTTAGCATGCCTTTGGGACAATTTCGAAGTTTTTAGGATTAGTCCTACCCCTCTGAGAAATAGTGCAGTTTAAGAGGTAGGTACGTTTTCACACAAAGCTATCTCTTGACGATGAATGATCTTCCTACTCCCCCTTGAGAAAAAGTCCTGCAGACCTACATAAACCTTGTTATGACTAATCTCGCGTGGATGACAATTGACAATTCACAGCAGTACAACTGCGACTGCCCATTGCGATACACATCCATCGGGCGGATCTGGTAGCATATACTTTAGACATGCGATAGTTGGAAATATTTCTCCATTATTCTTTTAGGGAGGATATGTCTGACAGGTACGTAGCATTACAGAGTTTGGAGGCGTATAAATATGTCAACGTAAAAAATTAGGACATATCGTACCCCATCCCTACGATCCCCTATTCCAATTTTTAAACCCTACAATTTTTCTCTGAAAATGAATAGAAGCCTCTGAAATGTCAAAAACAGAAGTTTGGCCCATTGCTCGTCTTTTTCTCATACCCTGTCGCCACTGGACCGATTTTCAAAAGCTACCAGGCAGCAACTTTGTGACGAAATTCCATCAATATCCGAGCTCCACTGTCCAAGTTATAGACCCACCAGTGAGTAGCGGACAAACCATAAACCGACAGACAATAAGACCGACAGACGTATGAAAACGTATAGCATTGTTTTTAGTGATGCACATGTCATACAACACCCAACAAACGTAGTATAATATGTAGACGTGTCTTGCTGTAAGAAAAGCGTGATACTTATGCAAAGAATTCAGAACATTTTCTAGAATCCAAAAGTTTAACAATAAGCAGGATATCCTGTTTCTAGTAATCAGCTTTAAATTTACTTCCCGTCCCCGCCCCCAAATTATTCACATTGTAACACCTACTTTCAAAGAATTCGATTGCTGAAGTTCTTCGTGCTATATAGGGTATGATTTGCATCAACTCACCGTAAGGAGAAGAATAGTGTGCGACAGCCACCGGTGCACTGTGTACCACACTAGAAGAAGTTTCCATCACCGAGCTATGGTGCAACGGAGCTGTGTGGGTCACTACGGGAGCTGCTGCGTTTAGTCGAATTAGCTCATTTCCACCGATGGTATTGTCTGAGATTGACGTATCCACTTGATGGGAGGAAGATAACGAGGTCTTAGTGGCAGCCACTCCTAAAACAGAAATAATAAACCATTTATAAAACTGTTGGGTATAATATTCGTTGTGTGAGCGGTGACAGCGCCGCCTAGTTTTCATAATTTTTCGGGACTTGAGGCCTGCCAATTCTTGGTTACTAGTTGTTTTGATATTAATTGCCATTGCAATTGATTAAAACCAAATGAGCGTACTCAAAAAGGTTGTGGTGCATATTAAACCAAGTTATTTGCGTATTTGAACAAAAATTAAATGTGCTAATACGTATGAGATTTGAATCGATAGAACCTTATTTAAACTTCCAACCTTAGCTCAAAGTATTCCAAAATGAAAGAAATTAATGTTTGTACAGTGTACGAGAGACATGGATACGTTAGGACGGACGGAGAAAGCTACTTAATAAGAGCGCTAAGACAAACGTGTATGGCACAAACTCCCTACAAAACAACATTAACTATGACTACCTATCTCCTTAATAAAATTATATTTTTGAGTTAAATTCACGTCAGCCTATATTGATTATTTACATTCTTGTTTTTTTGTTATTTTTGCGTACAATACATTAAAAATGAAATATATCCACTAATAACATACAAGGCGATGTTGCTATCCGTTTATTTTCTTGCTATAAATTTTAAATTTACATTAAAAAATCTAACTAATTTAGATTGAAATTGTATGAAACACCCATTTGACAAATGTCAGTTCCAAGCTAATTCACATCTCTGTCCTACTGTCTGCCGAGATCGATTTGACAATCCCCACCACCCACTTCACACATAGTGAATACGTTCATTACACTGGTCGTTATTGCAGATCAGATTTTATAGTCATTACTGAATTCTTGAAAATTATGAAAATAATTGAAATCGGATAAACGTACGTAGGTGTTTACCTTTTTTGTCACTCAGTATACTACAAATGCCCCAGTACAACCATAGTTAACAATAAATGTGTTGTTGTGTTGTTAATTTAACTATTCAATATAATTGAATATCACAAAAAACGTAGTGTAAGCCTGACACCTACAACACGCAAAAACAAAAGAGTGCATGTGTCACTTAACATCATTCTAATCTACTAGTTAAAGAGTAATTAATGTTATATACAGGGAGTCCCGAAAAACGTGTGCAATATTCTACCAGCGGTTTCTAGAGCTTAAAATAGGAAGAAAAGTTTATATAAACATAGGTCGACAAACGTCCCCTAAGGGCGCTACGGTCTTTTAAAACGGCTCCCCTGAAGATGGTTTTTCCTTAATATTTCCGAAACGTGTTGAGATAAAGAGATAAAGACATAAAATTTGGTATTCTAGCCTACTTTTATATGCCGGATTTAAAAATATCAACAATTTTAGACAGTTTTGTTTGGAAGCGTATGTAGCAGGGAAGGACTCAGGTTATTTTAGCCCCAAAATTTTTGTGTGATTCTATTTTTTAAATCCAATTTTAGAATTTGAATATTTAGGGTTTTTTTACATAAAAAATTTACTCTTATTGAATATCGATAAATTGTGCCATTTTTGAATAAAATCAAACTAAAAAAATTGTCACATGATAGGAAATGTACTGCGAATCTAAAAGAATTGTTGATTATACATTGTTAGCCATGACTGCAAACAAAAGTTGTATTGATTTGTTATGACTTAATTTGACGTTAAGCTGACATTGTTAGCAGCGTAAAATTACTAGATTAAATCAAAATTTTTATTAAATCGATTTGAAATGCCAAGATTTACAGACAGAGAACAGACTGACAGGCCTTTTGTGTACGGGCTTGGCAATGGCAGTTCATTGGCAGCCGTAAGAGAATATCGAAGAAGATTTCCCAATTGCATAGTACCTACCTGGACGTCGAATGTTTACTGATATTCACCGGAATTTGTCAAACCATGGAAGTTTTCAGCGCATCCAGGGCTCAGGAAGGCCACTGGGAAATCATCGTATGGATATTGCTTTAAATATGTTTGAAAATAATTCGCAAATAAGCATACGAAGTGTTTCAGAAATTATGGATATACCTCGATCAATAGTAAGAAAAATGTATGAATACCTATTTGATAGTTATCCTAAAAATAATAATTTTAGATAGGCAGAATGACAAGAATGCAGGGATTACATCCTTATCATTTTAAACGGGTGCAGCATGTACCTACCGGAGGCAGATTCTTTACCACGAATCGAGTTTTGCCAGTGAATATTAGCAAATTAAAACACTATTCCTAGAATATTATGGTCGGATGAGTCAGTATTTACTAGGAATGGTGCTTTTAATTTCCATAACATCGATTTTCATTAAACTTATGGGCAGGAGTAATTGGGGATCAAGTATTTGGGCCTATTGTACTTCCCAATCGTCTCAATTCAGAGGTGTATCTGAACTCTCTTCAGAATGAACTAATGGATATAATACCATTGGATGTGCGCCAGCAGTTTCAAGAAAATATGTTTTTTCAACATGATGGCGCCCCTGCACATTTTGGACGCAATGTTCGAAATTGGTTGAAAGTCAATTTTCCAGATAGGTGGTTAGGCCGAGGAGGTCCTATAGCGTGGCCGCCACGTTCACCTGACCTAAATCCATTGGATTTCTATTTTTGGGGGTCATTAAAAGTCCTAGTTTACTCGACTGACGTAAATACTCAAGAAGATTTACTTCTAACAATCCATCAGGCTGCAAATGAAATAAGAAGAAAAACGTTTTCCACTTTTCGGGCTACGCAATCATTAGTGCGTCGAGCGAGACTCTGTATCCAACAAAATGGGAATTTATTTGAACACTTATTGTAAAGCTAGTTTTAAGTATATCCAACTGTCTGACTTCTCTTTTAAACAAATTTCAATTTCGTTCGTAGAAAAAATTGATTTCTTTTGTTTTTGCCTAAATGTTAGCTATATTGCAATAGAAATATGTATTTATGTAATATTTACCAATTATTAAATTAGTTTTTTCGTTGCCATGGCTAATTATTCAACAATTCATTTAAATTCGCAGTAAATCTCCTATCATGTGACAAATTTTATAGTTTGATTTTATTCGAAAATAGCACAATTTATCGATATTCAATAAGAGTACCTTGTTATGCAGAAAACCCTAAATTTTCAAATTCTAAAATTGAATTTCAAAAATAGAATCACACAAAAATATTGGGGCTAAAATAACCTGAGTTCGTCCCTGTTACATACGCTTCCAAACAAAACTGTCTAAAATTGTTAATATTTTTAAATCCAGTATAAAAAACTAGGCTAGAATACCAAATTGTATGTCTTTATCTCAACACGTTTCGGAAATATTAAGGAAAAACCATATTCAGGGGAGCCCCGTAGTGCTCTTAGGGGACGTTTGTCGACCTATGTTTATATAAACTTTTCTTCCTATCTAAGCTCTAGAAACCACTGGTAGAATATTGCACACTTTTTTCGGGATACCCTACAGACATCAGTTTTCGTACTTTTAAAGGGTTGGTAATTTGAATTGCAAATTTTATTGTTTTATTTAGAATTCCTTGCTAGTGCATCACGGTTAAAATTTTAGCCGTTTTTGTTTTAAAGGTGCGTTTCATGTTTTTATACATGCCTCAATGTACACGGTATCCATCGACTGGAAAACCACACCGACTACCAGAGCAAATTAAATGAAAATACGATACAATAACTGAGCGAGACATCCTGTGGTAATCCAGAAACTTGGTCGTAAATGCAAAGCCGACACATCATTTTCAGAACAAAAGCATGCCGACCGGTTTTCGTCCTGACCATGTTTTTATAAGATAATAGGGCACCGCCCATGATATGTATAATAATATTCCTACAACAGGAATAACTTTTATACTCTAAAACACGTTAATTTGAGTCCTATCTTTGTCTTGCCTGCGGCCACTGCGTGCCTTAAAATGATGAATTGATACATCAACATATCTGCTCCGATTTATCGTAGCAACTTCGCACTTTCCGTGCAGTTTGCGCCCTAGAAATATCGAGATTGTTTATTGTTTACTAGTACTATCCCAGATAACATGTAAACTTGCGACATGCTTGATTTCCTTTTGATTTTAAATTGTCGTGTCAAATATGACCAAGCAAGTATGTGACAGTATTGCTGCAATATTATTGAGTCAAAGACAATACTTCAACGTTGTGACAAAGTTGCAACAACAACTTCATGTTCGCCATCTATCTCAAGTAAAGCATGACAGTAACCCTACCAGCCAGCATTACCAATGTGTAAGGAATTATCAAAATGTGAAGAACTAATGAATGTATTGTAGGTTTTGTAGAGATTTTTCAGGAACACATACCTACACCTACATAGAGGAAAAACTAAGGGTCCTTAAATTTATTGTTGTACCAGGTAAAAATTAAGGAATTTATGTTCTTTTCATCGATACGAACGGTAATTTTGATTTGTTGTCGTTCTCTATTTTTGCATCAGAAGTCTGCAAATTGCACATGCAGTTATACCATGTCGGAGAGAATTTCTAATATTTCCCCACATACGTCACTTTTTCCACTTATGTTTTTAATCGGTTTGATCTTATTACGCAATGCACGGCCTAGTAAAGCAAACTGTTCATGATTTGGAGTATATTATGTAAAACAATAAATATAGATAAATGTTTATAATGTGAAGTACATTTGGAATTCGCGCCATAAATTGACTTGTCAGGAATCCGATCGCAATGCGTTTAGGTTTTTCACATTTTCCACTTTCTCGTACCGCGTTTTCCCTTGTGCACTTGCTTTTTTTCTGTTGGCTATGGCTGCGTCCATTGTGTGATGTAGAGTTTGTTAATCTAAAGTAAATACATCAAAATAAATGAACTTTTCAATGTTCTGTGCCGATATTTAATGGGTTTCCCGAAATATATTTTTTATGTCTTCTCTTCAAAAAAGAGCTAACATGTGTTGAAGACCCTATCTACAAATTTCCAAGAAAGGACATACGAAGGGAATCAAACAAGAAATGGCACTTTCTCACGCAAATATCAGTGTCAGTGGCAACCAAATATCATTCCAACAACCTGTCATGATCCAGATTCCCTTCAACATCATTCCAAATCTCCTTCAATACAACCTCGTTTATCTAATGAAAATCATTTAACATATCAGAACCTCACTGCTGGAAGTCCTCTTTCTGACAATGATGAAACTTATGAAATTGCCTTTTCAAGTGCAAGGATACAACATTAGTATCTTCCTACAAAAAGTCATTCGTTCTTTCATTATACACATCTACAAATTCAATAACCGTAGCTGAGAGACAAAATCAAAGCAACAGACGGAGATATATCAATGCAGTTGGTATATTAGGTATATAAGTCAAATTCTTATTTCGAACATTTTTTTCTGGTATTCACAATATATTCTGCTAAAACTTACATGATCTCTTTGGTGTTTATAATCACAACTTTACTCTGCTGTGGTTTCCTGTATACAGTGCGGATAATTACCCTCGTGAACATAAAAAATCGAATCACATCAATTGGATAAGCGGTTTTACTGACGTTTCAGTCTGTTTCTATTCATGCAAGTTGTTCAAGGGGGTATTTAAGACATGGACGCATAAAATGGGCAGGTATACCAGTTTTAGTGGGAAAACTTTTTATTCGATAACAAAGAATGAGAAAACGTGTTTTTTGGGATTCAACCGAATGTGTTGGCAGGACCTTAAAGACTTTTCAAATAAGATTTTTGGGTATTGATGAGACATACATAATGAGACCACACGTAAAAAGATCCCACTAATATTAAAAAAGTTATTGCCGGAAACCGAGGCAAAATGCAGATTTTGGCACTTGCTGGTAATGCGACGATAATTTCACTCAGCTACTTGAAATTTCCAAACCCGAAGGCTTCTTACCTCTAAATAACCGCAACACAATTGGAGTCGATCGGTCAAGTAGTTTTTGAGAATTTATAATAGTTTATCCCAAATACCTATTTTCCGGCCATCACTTCTAGTTTATTGAGCAATATACAGGGTTCGTCCGAAGGGCATTTTTAGCAAAATATACCAGTTTCCCTTGCCGACATGAGTCATAAGCAATTCCGAAAGATAATTGTTATTTTCCTTGTTTTCCTAAACAAATTCAAACATTTCGTATTTGTAAGTAACTGAACAGATTCGCTACGATATACAAAAAACATACGTTTTAAAACAAAGCGAATGTGTCTATCACCTTTTGTTGCGAAGAAAAAAAATACAAATACGAAATGTTTGAATTTGTTCAGAAGAAAAAAACGTAACCGTTCGTTTTCCGCATAAAAATAACAATTGTCTTTCGGAATGGCCTGTTATTCATATCGGCAAATTGAGCTCGTGTATTTTGCTATAAAAAGCTCTTTGAGCGAACCTGGTATATTGCTTAATTAACTAGTAGTGCTGGCCGGAAGACAGGTATTTTGGGACAAACAATTAGAAATTCTCAAAAACTACTTGACCAATCGACTCCAATTTTGCTGTGGTTATTTAGAAGTAAGATGCCTTTGGATTTGAAGAATTTCAAATGGCTTTGTGAAATTTTCGTCGCATTAGCAACAAGTTCCTTGGTTTTCAGCCATAACTTTTTTACTATTAGTTGGATTTTCTTACGTGTGGTATCATAAATACCTAAAAGTCTTATTTGACGAGTTTTCTCGTTCCTGCCACCACTTTCGATTGAACCACAGAAAAGACGTTTCTTTGTTGTCAAATAAAAAGTTTTGCCACAAAAACTGATGTGCCCATTTTATGCGTCCATGTTTTAAATACCCTCTTGAACAACTTGCATCAATAAGACCAGACTGTACAATTATTTCGGGAAAGTTTGCTGATATGATTAGACTATTTATGTGGATTAAACGTTTTTGTAATAAAATGTTACATTATGTACCTCGATATTGGTTTCAGGGGCAATCAAAACGTCAGTAAAATGATTCATCTAATATGATTCGGTTTACGGGCTAAACTGTTTTGTAAGTTACATTGGCAAGTTTGTCATGTCAAAGCTAGCTATATCGAAATAAGTAAACTTTAAACATGTTTGTCGCATGGAAACTAGAAAGATTGATTTGAACTTGCTGCAAGTGTGCTAGGTTGCCACGGCAAGCTTGTAAAAAACCTGCATTTGTGATACATCAAACTTGTTGCCAGTCTCAAACAAGTTTATACTGCTATCTGGGATATATTTTTTCAATGTATTCGATCCTATCTGTAGAATGTATTTGCTTAGTAAAATTTATGTATTTAATTCAAAAGTGTTTTTCAGCTTTGTGAACTATACCTGTAGCAAGGTCTCCCTCATGGGAAATGCTGGTAGTTACTTTCTTGGCTTCTTGACGCGACACGGTTTTGTGTGGCACAGTCGCTGCGTGTGTTGCTACCAAGGCTGCATGGACTATGGGAGCTTTCCTAACTATTGCATTGAAGCCATTGATCGGGTCAGCGACATAATCAACGATGCGACGTGTACCATCTGGCTCATTCAGGGAATAGGAACCTGGAAAAAGTACGATTAAGAGAAAATATGTGCTACCTTCATTTTATTTCCCAGGGTATTGCTGAAGATTTTCAGACAAATATTTATTGACATACTTATTATCTTATTATTGTGTTCAGAATTTAAGATAGCTCTGATCCGCTCTCCAGTGCATCTTTTGTGTTATTCGGAGTAACTCGGTACTGCCCGTTCCACTGCTTTAGTGTGTCATGCACCTGAGTTACTCATTTTTGAAATCCCCTGCCTCCTCGTACACTGGGTTTTTATTCGGTGAAAATAATTTTAAATGCCGACACTAAAATATGAATTTGACTCATTTACATAGAAGCTTTACAATAAAAATGCAAACGTGTTGCGACATCAATCTAAACCCATCATCAGGCGTACATTGGTTAGTCTGACAAAGCGCCAGAAAATAAATGCAAAATGTGTTTCACATTTTCATTGTTAGAGTGTGACAAACTTCATCGTCATCATTTAGATTTTAGAAGCTAGATCCGTAAGAATTGAATAGTTTGGAGTTTGAATCAACAACATAAAAGATTTTCTGGCAGTGTGATCACAAACGTCCTCGTGCATATTTGTAAAAGCACTGGAAGGCGGCTCTGGAACAGTCAAAAGACATAGTATGCCATTGTCTGGCCGACTCAGACCACATCCGGTGAGACTCAAGTTTGGCTGACGTAATGTGTATGAGAGAGAAGCGCGATGGGTGTGCGATATGTAATGTTAGATGGCTTCCGTGACCGCGTATTCGAGTTGCCAGGCAACGAGGTGCTTCTATCTCTTTCTAACACACATATTGAACGCATCCGCGCTTCTCTCTCGTACACATTCCGACGTCAGTGGTATTTGGTTTTCAGTGTGGTGATAACGTGACGGTCGTCACTTCATACAATAAACATGAAACAGTGCGTTCCTGAATTGGACAATATGTTTGTCTATATAGGGTTATTAATAACTAGGTGGAGAGTCAAACACATTTAAAAAATACACTCAATTTTGACCACTCGCACCTCTGCAACTTTTATAGATAGGATACTGATTCGTTTGTAAGAAAAATTTAACGATCTCACATTTTTCACGTAAACCCTTACTTTTTCAATCTTTGAATACTTTATACTTAGTAGCCAAGAACGCAAAATGAACTATTTTTAAAAATTTTCAAATAGTACGCGTATTATATTTTCACATTCCTTGATTCATCTTTTCTAAAGCTTTTTTTTTTGATAAAAGGTGAATAGCGGTTCGTGCATCTGCTTTTTCATGAACAGTAACCAAATAAATGCTATTATTCATTTTGAAAAGTACTGTAATATTTTTGCTTTACCCTGACATCTGACTTACAAAAAGATTAGCTGTAACTCAAAAACCAGTCATACAAACGCCAAAAACCTTATATTAAACAATGTTGTTAAAAAGAGGGATTTAAGAATATAAAAATATACAGGGTGGTTCAATTGGCAATTGTGAGAAATCGTTCATTTTACCCTGTTTAATCTATGAAAAAAATAAGCTCATGACGGAAAATTTAGTACTCTGCCTATAACAGTTGAGGAATTTAAGTATTTTTTTGCTATATAAATGAACAATTTGAAGATAAAACCCCTTAGGTTGTTGTTATATCAAATTGCTTTGTTTAAGAGGGCTTCTTCATATCCTCAATAAAATGTAGGTCCGTCTGAAAAAAAAAATTATATTTGGGCCGCCAGGTAGTTATGGATCAACCTATAGAGGTAAAAAAACAGGAAAGGGACATAACGTTGGCTACCATCTTGGTGATAAACCTTTTTAGACACCATAATAACAGAGCAATCGATTCTAGATTCACTTAAGATAAAATAGACGGTGGCGCATCGAAAACGAAACAGACGCATTTACTGGCAGCTCCGTTTTTTTTTTTTTAAAAACGCTCAGACCCGTCGATTTTGTTTTCGAGGGGGACACAAGTTTGGCAAAAAATCACGTTAGCACTTGCAGCCCCCTAAGCGGGGGTGACACCACCCCCAAAATCTTAAATGGAAAGGGGGGTCGAGTGATACCTTATTTTAAAGGTCTTTCAATTCCCTTTATAATGATATAAAATTAATGTACTTCAGTGCAGTAGTTTTGAAGATTTATAAAACGAATACATCATCATTAGTTGAGATCAATACATTTGGCAGCAGAGTAATTTAAAAATGAAAAATGAACTGACCCGTTAGGCAAGTAAATGTTGAAAATGGCCACCATGACTCTCCATGCAATAATAAAGATTTTGCTCAAAACGTTGCAGCACATTTTGTAATATTTGAGGAGTAATTTGAAGGCATTCGTTCACAATTCTTTGTCGCAGGTCTTCTAATGATGTTGGCTGAGTAGCATAGATTTTGCTTTTTAAATGACCCCACATAAAGAAATCCAAAGGTGATAAATCTGGCGATCTTGGGGTCCATTTTATGGCACCTCTTCTACCAATCCATCGACCTGGAAACGTCTGATCTAAATATTGTCGAACACGTAATGCGTAATGTGGTGGGGCACCATCCTGTTGGAACATCAACCTATTCGCAATGTACCGCCGATCACTCTGATTTTCAATTATGGCTGTTAATGCAGGATCTATGGTGTCTTCCAGTAATTCCAAATAAAAAGGACCAACTAATGATCGCCAAAAATACCAGCTCAAACATTTAATTTTTGTGGCTGCTGTGTATGAACCTCATGTTAAATTCTGGGATTAGAATCGGACCAATATCGGCAGTAATGACGATTTACTACGCCATATAAGAAAAACGAACATTCGTCGGAAAAGCAAGTGTTTAATAGAAAATGTTCATCGGTTATAATTCGTTCACTCATATCTTCACAAAATTGTAATCGCCGATCAAAATCGTCTTTATTAAGTTCTTGTACCAGGTGAATTTTATACGGATGAAAACTATAGGCCTTTAGAATCCGTTGGACAGTACGTCGACTAACACCACACACAGTCTCCAATTTGCGGGTACTTAACGTAGGATCTACATAAACTTGCCCTAAAACCCCCACTTCTATTGCTTCGTTCCTTATGGGATTTTCAATGTTGCGTTTTTTATTGGCGATTGACCCAGTTTCCCGAAATTTAGCTACAAGTTCTAGAACATATTTTCGATGCACGGTACGGCCCGTTCACATATGGGAGTCCGTTGTACTGGTACGTTTTTAACGGATACGTTATAAATTTATGCTCTGTTCACACCTAGGCACCGTATAACGTTCAACGGATCCGTCATTACTGGATGCGATGTGTGAACAGAAAACACGCAGTATACCGCCGCTATTCTACAAGGATGGACGTTGTCGTGTTGTATTAGTACTATCGTCGGAGAAGGAAGATTCGACGTTATTGGCAGCATCCACTGATGGCCCAAAGATCTAGAGAGGGTGCTTACAGTTTACTTATGAGTCAGTTACGAGGTGATGAATCGAATTTTTTCAAATACTTTCGTATGTCAATGTCGACTTTTGATGAACTTCTTAAACTATTGGAAAAGGATTTAAAAAAGCAAGATCTGTCTGTTGCCGTTTTTTATCAGCATCTAGTAGTCACCGTTGCAAAATACACCACAGCTGAGCTATGGGTAAATAACGTTGCAAGTTTAACAGTGAATGTTTTTTTAATATGAATTTTGTTGTTACCTTTAACAACGTCGCCGTGCCTCGTCTCCACTTGACTCTTGCTGTCGCCTGTCAAGACGTCGTTGACGTCATAGCCGTAGGTGTAGTGAGGCTCATGGTGGCTGTACTCGCTGTCTACTATAACATTAGCCAGTGGAGATGCTATAATGCCTCCTTCGGCGATTGTCAAGAAAGCAGCTAGTAAAACAGCCTGTAAAGAAAGTCAGGGTTGAAATTCAAGCACATTCCGTACACAAACTAAGTCCATCGACTGAGTGTACGTACAAAAGGTACGATCTACAGGTTTCATGTTGTATCCGTAATAACCAAGATTCTGTAGCGTTCGAACGAGCACTCCCTCGGCGATGATTTTGGACGCAGCTATGGCTGGGATATCATTTTTACTAGTTCATATAAAGTTGCTGAGTACAGCTGTAGAAAGATGTTTATCACTGTTTCATCTGGAAGATCGAGTCGACTTGGAACTGATGATAGTTGCAAAATTGATCATTTCAGACGTATGCAGGAGGGATGAATCTCTCTGAGAGAAGTGCTTTTCATTACAAGAACAGCTTTTCATTATTTCTCGTGTGGTCTACATTGCACCATCAAAAACTCACCAAAATGATAAACATATCTAAATGTTTCGTGAAATTGTTCAATAAAAGCAACTCTACAAATAATGAGCTTAAAAACTTGAAGTACATATAAAGTGCATAATTTGCAGTATGCTGCAAAGATATTCTGAAGTGAAGTTCATTGTAGGATTTCCAGGTGAATAATACCGTTACTGTAACCAATGCACCTAAACAAAATACTTCCCTACAGTTGAAATCGATTAATACCAGCGCAACAGAAAAAGTACCGTATTTAACCGTGAAGGAATAATATTATCATAATCGAGAAGATATATGTATAATGGTGGTTTACAGGTAATGACATGTAGGATAACTATAACCTAAATAAACCTTTTTTTTTGTTCGACTTAAAATAAACATAAACTTTTTCTCTAACGAGTGATGGCTAACGAGTTTCGAATATTTATTAAGGTGTATGTTGGGGCAGATAGGATAACTAGAAGCTAAATAGTATCATTTTTTAGTCTAATCGTATTAGCAATTTACCCTGAAATAATTGTAAAGTCTGGTTTAATTTGAGCAAGTTGTTCAAGGGGGGTATTTAAAACATGAACGCATAAAATGGGTACACCAATTGTTGTGGGAAAACTTTTTATTTGACAACAAACAATGAGAAAATGTCTTTTTTGGGATTCAATCGAAACTGTTGACAGGAATGAAAAAACTTTTAATTTAACATTTTTGGGTATTTATGAGACATACAAAACGAGACAAGACTTAAAAAGATTCGACTAATAGCAAAAATGTTACGGCCGAAAAACGAGACAAATTGCAGGCTTTGGCACTTGGTGATGCGACGATAATTTAAGGCACTCACTTGAAATTCTAACTAACAACAACAGAAATGGATTATATTGGTCAAGTAGTTTTTTGATAATTTCTTACTGTTTATCCCAAAACACCTGTTTTCCGGCCATCACTACTAGTTTATTGAGCAATATACAGGGTTCGTCAAAGATCATTTAATAGAAAAATGCACGTGTTTACCTTACCGATATGAATCACGAACCATTCCGAAAGATAAATGTTATTTTTATATTAAACAAAGGTTACGTTTTTTTTCTTCTAAAGAAATTCAAACATTTCGTAATTGTGAGTAATTGAACAAGTTGGCTAAGATATTCGAAAAACATACGTTACTATACACATTTTAAAACAAAGCGGATGTGTCTATCATCTTCTGTTGCGAATTACTCACACATACGAAATGTTTGAATTTGTTTAGAGGAAAAAACGTAAACCATCCCTTTTGCATAAAAATAACACTTATCTTCCGGAATGGTTTGCGATTCATATCGGCAAGGTAACGTAGTATATTTTGCTATAACATGCCCTTTGAACTAACCCTGTACATTGCGGAATAAACTAGTAGTGATGGCCGAAAAACAGGTGTTTTGGGATAAACAATTAGAAATTCTCAAGAACGACTTGACCAATCTACTCCAATTTTGTCGTAGTTATTTAGAAGTACAAATCCTACGAATTTGAAACATTTCAAATATCTGCGACAAATCATCGTCGCCTGCAGTTTTCCTCGCTTTTCGGCCATACCTTTTTTGCTATAAGTCGGATCTGTTTACGTGTGGTCTCATTTTGTAGGTCTCATAAATACCTAAAAATCTGATGAAAAGAGGTTTTTCGTTCCTGCCTCCACTTTCGATTGAATCCCAAAACATACGTTTTCTCATTCTTTGTTGTCGAATAAAAAGTTTTCCCGAAAAAATTGGTGTATCCATTTTATGCGTCCATTTTGAATACCCCCTTGCAGCAATAAAACCAGACTACAATTATGTCGCAAACCAGCCGTATTTTCGTCTAATACGGTTAGACTATTTACCCGAATACCTCAGAAGGAGGGGTATGTCTTTCACGCGTGGGTATGTGTGCATCCAGAAATTATTTTCAACAATAATGTTAAAAAAACAAAACGGCAGAAACTGGTAAAAAATCTAACCTTGAAATTCCAACTTCACGAGATCATAAACGGCTTAGTGTATTTTGACACATGAAGTGTCGCTAGATTCCTAGTTAGCAGAATATACAGTGTTTGTCCGGAAAGTAATAGGACTGAGTCGATTTAAAAAAATTTATTGAGCCAATCGTTACAATTCTTTAAAAACTTTCAAACTAGGCTCCTTCTGCGTCGATGCAGCACTGCCAGCGCGATTTCCAAGCATTGAAGGCATCACGGCAGGCATTTTCCGGAATAGCCTTGAGAGCCGCGGTGCATGCTGCTTGGATCCCCTTTGTCGTCTCAAAATGCTTGCCCTTCATCGGCCTTTTCAGGCGAGGAAACAAAAAAAAGTCCGGGGGGCCACATCTGGGCTGTAGGGCGGCTGCGGAAGCGTTGGGATGCCGGCCTTCGTCAGGTAGCTGTTCACAAGAAAGGCGGCGTGAGCCGGGGCGTTGTCGTGGTGCAACTTCCAGTCGGCTGCGATGTCTTGTCGGACCCGACTGACCCTTCGTTTGAGTCTCCTGAGCACTTCCACGCAAAACTTGGCGTTGACGGTTTGTCCAAAATTCATGGTGGACGATGCCTTTGATGTCAGAAAAGACAATGACCATCGTTTTCACTTTGGATTTGCGCATTCTTCCCTTTTTTGGGCGAGGAGACGCCGTCGTGTGCCACTCGGAAGATTGCCTCTTTGTCTCGGGATCATACTCAAAGATCCACGACTCGTCACCTGTGATTACGTTATTCAAAAATTGAGGGTCACCTTCACACATGTTCAAATTTTCTTGGCACACTTCCACTCGCCGCATTTTCTGGTCGTCAGTGAGCACTCTTGGGACCATCTACGCGCACAACTTGCGCATGTTCAAATGCTGTGTGACAATGTCATGAACCTCAGATTTTGGTAAATTTAACATCTGGGCAATTAAGCGAATACTTAGTCGACGGTCTGAGTTCAAAACTTTGCGCACACGAGTCACATTATCGGTGTTTGTCGAAGTCGAAGGTCTTCCAGTACGGTCTTCATCAGCGACCTCTTCCCGGCCCTCCAAAAAGACCTGGTGCCACCGAAACACACCACTTCTTGCTAAAGCAACACCTGGGTAAGCCTGCTTGATCATATCAAACGTCTCTGTCACAGATTTATCGAGTTTCACACAGAATTTAATAGCGTACCTCTGCTGTAACGAACGCTGCATTTTCGACTTGCACCACTCACAGCAGCGCGTCGCGCGAAAATGCCTGTCCTGACTCTTCAAGTGCTCGAAGACAACTGACCAGCCACTCATTCGTTAGCTAGGAACGCCCTCTACCGAATCCAGTCGGTGCGCGCACGCTCTGAAGTACAGTCATGGCGGAAGAAAACGAGTCCTATTACTTTGCGGACAAACCCTGTAATCTTTATTTCTTTCTGTTAGTACAAAGTGTACTTCTCAGTAAACGTTTCCTCGGACAAGTTCAAACAGTTTTATTGAATTCAGTAAAGAATAAAAAACTGACGAAAGAATGGATATTGATGAAAAATAATGCATTGCAGTAGAAAATTATTAATATGGTTTAATTAATTTTTTCTTGAGATCGAATGTCTGATGATAACAAAACCTCAAAACAATTTTAAATCTTGATCAAGCTCATTCTGGAAGACTGAGCTTAACAGTATGTCTGCAAATTAGCTCGCCGGGGCACCGAGGACAAATTGGCACAGGCAACATTAGGGAAGAATTTTGGGTTCCATCTCTACCGATATCTGCTTTTTTTTCTCAATATACTTTATATACTTGCAATGGACTAAACGTGTAATAGGGTACACCGTTAAATGCCTGATTATGGAACAGTCAATACGGCAGAAGTATATGGACATAATGAAATGCAAATAGCTGAATTTTAGGACCAGCAAATATCAATACCATTAACTGATCTCCTGGCAAACACAATCATACCATTAGTTTAATTATTTATTTTATTGGGACCAATAATACTAGCGTATCTGCCACTACATTACAGGCTATCTTTTATTGCAAATCCATTTTATCCATGGATAAGTTTATAGCACCTCTGTATAGCAATTTTATGCTTGGATCGCTACCAATACAAAACCGGGCAGGACAGTAATAAAAGCTATTCCTATTAGGGCAGACCTGACGTCCTGGAATTGTTTTTTTCCTATACGCATCGTGAGTCTGAATATACGAGAAAAATAGGCGGCTTAGTTATTCGTATATGTAGGTATGTTTGATTCCCTACTTTGGTGAATATTGTAAGTCCCTAAGTATATGTATTTGATAACTATTATCGAATGTGTCCAGATCCATCAGTTTTAAAATGTTTTTGTTTTTTTCACACGTTCCTAGCTATTCTTATTTTAAGATATTTAAATCTATCAGACAAAGAGAATTGGTATCTAAACGAATTACGATTGTACAGAAAAACTTGACAAAAAATGTATCACATATTTAATTGAAAGGCCAAATAGAGGAGTAGTAGACGTATTTTTTTACTTCATTAATCGCCACTTCTAGCTAATGTTTACTCTCGCAACGGCTGAGGCTGTCGATGAAAGGGGGAGTCGGATGATTGAACGAAAAAGGGATACACATTCTTGAACATACAGGTAAATATTACTCACGCTCATATGGAGTCGATCTTTGTTCGTTATACAGGGTGCTAACAAAGTATCTTGAGTCCCTCTATTTGTAAGGCGAAGGGCTAATATAAATATAGGTCCGGCAGTGTTTGGTGTTCGGGACGGAGGTAAAATTTTGAAATGAAAACGGCTTTCCCAAAAAAAAACAATAATGTTGCTTTTATTGAAGAGTTGATTGTATTTAGATTTCAGGTGCTCTACCATGAACTCCAAATTTCAACTTAAGGCATCTTTCTAAGACATAGGGAATGATTTTCGAATAACTTATTTGAAAATGTAGTACATTGTAGACTTTGACGTGTAAAACAAAAGTGTGCATGGGTGCAAGGTCTTCCAATAGTAGTTTTCGAGATAGAGGGTCCCCAAGTTGGGCAGTCCGTATCGTATAACAGCGGTTCAGTAAAGTGTATGTTATAACTTTTTGATACTTGTGTGCGTTTTTATCAGCATCCATGCGAGTTCAAACGCATTTTCCTAATTTCGTCTCATAAAGATTCGCCTCGGTCAATCTCTACCTCATATATAAATGTTAACGTCAGACTCCTTTGTCTTATGGAAACGTTGAAGCTCACGTTTTGGTATATGGTATTTGTGATTGCCAAAGCTTTCTACTCGACAAAGCTCAGAACGGAAGTATGTAGATCCACCCAAATACGCAATAAAGGTATAGGCATATATCCCTTTATCTATTAAGAGATAAATCAGGTCATTAGTCGAACAACCTGTATAACTCTTATATCTTTTAAATGATTTCCCGCGGCAACAGTGGAAGATGATCCTGAATAGTTACCGAGTAGGTTTGTGTCTCGGGGCAATACTACTCAATAAAAAAATAGCAGTTATTCCGCATAACCTTTCTGGGAGTTTTTTCCGGTACTACATGATGAACAGTAAAAAGTACAATAGATAACGTATTGCCCCGACATCCACAAGTTAGGAGTTTTGCTTAAACTTGAAAGGACCAAATATTTTTGTGCGTTTATTTCACTGATAAACACAATTTTTGAGCATATCTTATGTATTTTAAGACCCTTAAATCAAATCTAGAAATAGAATTTTTCTATCACCCACAGATATTCGGTAACATCTACTTTTATGAATTACAATACGTAACATCTCATATTGCTGCATTTCTGGGCGTTAATGCGTTGACGCACATATATAACATTAAGACCTGTCTATTCCTGTTTATTATATGCTAGCTCTATGTTTAGAGAGCATATTGCGGTTATTAGTAGACTAATAGCAGCCGAGTCAGTTACGTTTTCTGTGTTGAAGAGTACTGAGCTGTTCTGAGTACTGTTAATTTTTGTTAAAATGGTGTGTTGTTTTTAGCTTACCGTGATCGAGACCAACGTTATGGACAATTTTTGTTATGTGTGCGGAGAGCTAACTTTTAAATCCCAAAAACGTACTTTTACTTCCCTTGTGTTGAAAGCATACGAACTTTATTTTGCAATTAAAGTTGGCGACCAAGATAAACTATGGGACCCTCATATTATGTTATAAGACTTGTGTAACGTTGTTGACAGGTTGATAAAGAGGAGGCAATCGTAAAGTGCCCTTTACGGTACTAATGGTTTGGAGAGAACCGAGAGACCATACTACTGATTGCTATTTTTGCCTCACAAATATTAAAGGTATTGGACCAAAATCGAAACATACTGTTAAGTATTTTAATTTACCATCAGCTTTGCGGCCCGTTAAGCATAGGGATGGAAACGTTTTGGGAAAGCTATGGATCGAAATGGAAGAGAGTTTCTGCATTTAAAACAAACATTTCCGAGACTTAATGAGGCAAAAATTAAAAAGAGCATATTCGTGGGTTCGTGAAGGATGATGTGTTTGACAGTGTTCTAAATGAAACTGAATTACGAGCTTGGAAAGCTTTTAAATCAGTTACTGCAAATTTTTTAGGCAATGTGAAGGCGGACAATTATAAAGAAATTGTGAGTGAACTAATTAATGCTTATAAAGGAATGGGATGCATCATGTCTCTAGAAATTCGCTTTTTGGATTATCATCTCGATTTTGTTCCGGAAAATTTAGGTGCGGTAAGTGATGAATATGGTGAACGGTTCCACCAAGGCATTTCTGCTTTGGAAAAACGGTATCAAGGCAAATGGAGTGTCAATTTGCTTGCTGATTATTACTGGACATTGTTAGGAGATACTTCAGGAGCAACATATCGCCGTGAAACGTCGACAACAACATTCTGAGATCAATGTTTATTCGAATGTTTATTAGTACTCTTACACACATATCCTTATATTTCATGAGTATAAGCAGCAAATAAAATGCCTTATTGCAAGAAAACCGTCGGTGATAGAAAAAATCGAATGCTATTTCCGCCTCTTTGGGTACATTTTACATAATAACCACCTTGTTTTGTCCATGTCACAAAAAAATTATTTTAATTTTGTTCACCAGTGCTCTTTGCTCGATCAGTCCTAGCATAGCTTGTTGGATAACGAAGCATTTCCATAACAAGAGAAGAAGACAAATTTAGCACCCAGAAGGGAAACTTCGTTAATATTTCTGAGCTTGCCTTCAAATTGCTTTATCTATATATAAAATTAACCTTCTTCTTATTAATAAATTAGTCATATGTTAAAGGTTAAAGGAGTTTTTGCTAAAAATCCATTGTAATAATTCTTTAAATTGAAACAATAAACCTTCAACATAAAAAAAAATGCTGCCCGCTTTTAAATCATATGGGTATTTTGTTTCATCTTGTCCAGTAGAAGCACTGATCAAGCCTAATCTAATTTCAAAAAGGGAGATACAAAAATTGGAGTGCTCCTGTGTTTACACAGAAGATGGAATTGGCCGTGTGAAGTACAGGAAGAATATTCCTTCCTGGGAGTGTACGTGTATGTAAACACTAAGGACTTACCTCGCGAGACATGGCGCACTTCTATGCGGAGAACACGGGACGACGTTATATTGGCACTCGGACGACGGTCAAGTGGTCCCGAAGGTCCGAATGGCCTTAGCTTATATATGGAGCCACTCGACCAAAGCGAGGAGTTAGTTGGGGGAGACCGGAGCACGTTTAATGCAACTGCTCAAGCTTTTGGTCTCCTTACCTATCTCTTCCAAATTCGACTGGTGTTTCAACGAGGACTGCTCATAACATGAAAAACGGAGTATGCTCCAGTTGTACTATGTCGTTTTAATCAGTTGATAAAATTTTATTTTCATTCTGGATACCATTAGAACATGACCACAGGAACCATTCAAGTTGGTCTTTGCTTATTTTTCATGACATAAGGGATGGGAGGTCTAGATGGTGAGTACGTCAGTAATATTTTTTTTACTTGTACGGATTTCTTACAAAATTTCGTCCATTTTGATTTGAACACATATGGCAGTTCTGTCTGTCCATGCTCGAAAGCAAAACGCATCTTCAGCGATTTCCCAAGTATGGATATGCTTACTCTTTTAGAACCTTAGCTATACATGCTCCTGTTAGAAACTTGTATAACAGAGTAGATAGTACGCCAATAAGAGAGGCTACGATTTTTATAGAACAAATGTGTCAAAGTTACATACATATATTATGTTTTGCACAACTTAACCGGGTTTTTCTTTTTCATGCATTATATTTGTTGTTCAATGTTTCGCAGGTTAGTATACTGTAAGCACGGAATGCAAAACTCAAGACCTTCTCAATTTGAGATGTATACACAGTGTGAAACTTAAGCCAGAGCTGTATGGATATTATACAAATACGTTATTGCTGACTCCGCACCCTAACGCGGTTTTGTATAACTATATATCTACTAAAATGAGATAGCGCAAGGCGCCATCTATCGCACCAGAATCGACCACTGTGGATCGCGCATCGCTGCTATTAGTTGGAACTGTCATGGATCTCAGTTCGCGGTTAATAGCCGTGCCGCTAAATGGCTGACGATTCTGGCTGATAGTAGATGTGGTCTACTTGCCATTGACTATATTAAGCAAGATGCTTTCTACTATCTCGATATTTGCAACCTTTCACAATAAACTGTCAAAGTCAGAGAATAAATGTCATTTTCCTCACATCTGAAACAAGCCTAACCTCCATGGCTGGACTAGTCACATATTTATGGGAGCTGGGTATAGCCGAGTGGCCTAGAATATCCGCCTTGACAGCTAATTTTGAGACATAGATGTATTACGCACCAGATCAGTGGAAAAACATAGGTACATCGCATTGCTGCAGCTAGTTGATTCAATAATCAGTTACCAGCAGATAGAATCCGGAGTAGCATGATGCTGGTACTAGGGATCAACAAAAACGGTCAAAAGTGGCCTACTTGCCAAGTTTCACCCCGTCAATACTACTATCGCATATTATAACGTTACTGTCGGTATCTCTGATCTTCATATTCCCAATTATTTGGTGCTTTTCCTACCTGACTCCAGGGAAGGTTACTCCTGGTGCTCTAATGTCACGAATGTCATACGTCAAACTAGAGAATCAGGAAATGTATCTAATTTTTGAAGATCTTTTACTATTGAATATAGACACCAACACAAGTAGAAGTAAATGAATCGAATTATTCCTAAATGTTACAATAACAGTTGACATCAACGGAAATCTTACCAACCGCATAGGACTCTAGTTGACGTTGACAAAACCCAATTTTTGACAGCCGTGTTATTTGGCAGATTCATCACGAAATTCTACTTTGAACTTTATCCGGCAAATTTTGTCACTTCCCATTCATAAAAAAAGTTGATTCGCCCAAAGCATATCTTTTAATGGCAGAAAACGATATTTCTACGGAATAATATTTTGTAAAATCCTCTTACTTGTGGATGGCTCATCATCTAATACAAGACCTGTGGAGGCAGAAATTATCTATGATTTGATGCGACCACTTACTGATGCAACAAAAAAAAAGAAAAGTTATCTGCTTACTTCTATGTTTCTACTATAATGCTTTCCCCACTGTGTGAGGTTTAGATAAAGCCTGGTTTGGATTGCTACTCTGAAGTCTGGAAAGCTGCAACTAATCTGCTGTCCAGGGGAGGACAACCCGAACCTGCAGCGACAATGACTTCCTTAGCTCATAATTAAAGTTGACTTTCTCATCAATGACTGGCTTATCACCCTTATTTCTGACGACGATACACCAATGAATGCTTTTTATCAAACAAGTATTCACTTCCACTTTTAAATAGACCAATTTAGGCTTTCTATTCCACATTTGTATATTTTAAGGTAGCCGGTACTGTTGTTCAAGCATCGCTAGTTAATCAAGGATTCTAAACAATCTAGCAAAAGCAATTTTTCTACACTAATTAAGTCTTAACAGTAGTTATTCCAAGTAGAATATCTCTGTCTTTGAAGAAAACCTTTAAACGTTTGGAATGTTTCCCAGTCTTGGAATTTTTATCTTTTAAAAATGCACTTGTCACCCTTCACCGAATTTAAGCGAGTATAAACGACTTTTTAATGAATTTAATGACTTCACTGCAACCTCAAAAGTTTTAATCTCACGATAGTGTCGCTGCGACTTCCTTAGGAGCTTCAGTCTCGAGTTTCGGCAAATCCTTGTAATGGGTGGCGGAAAAGAGTTAATGCGAAGCGAACAAACTACAACAGAATTTGTAAGCGCATTGCTGGTAATAAATTCGAGTGATAAGGAAAAAACGACGTTGAAAAAATTGGTCCAAAGTTAATGGTACCGCATCACGTATTTTCACTTACTCGACAAATGTTAATAATAAAGATATGTAGTTTAGAGATGCGCTTTCTAAAATTAATTTTTACTACCTCTGCATTTCCGGAAATATTTGAGGCTACAGAAAACTTTTCGAACCGTTCCCTAGGAACTGAATGCTTGATGCTACAAGAATGTGTCTTCTTCTTAAGGTGCCTCTCCACTCCGGATGTTAACTATCGTTCTAGCTATCATGACTCTGTTATTGCTGTACGATTGCAGTTTTTGTCGTCACGCATCGAGACTTTTGTTCTCTCTAGAACGCTTCTGCACTCGTCGATTTGAAGATAAGTACGCGCACAGAGTGTAGAGGCAGGAGAGAGCTGCGCAAAATACCATAGCCCGGTCGACATAGTGTTAAGTATGTAATAAATTAGCAAGTGTTGTGATAAGTGTGAGAATAATAAATTAGCAAGTGTTGTGATAAGTGTGAGAATAATAAATTAGCAAGTGTTGTGATAAGTGTGAGAATAATAAATTAGACTTCAAATGGTGAAATCGGTGAATACGTTACAGTATTGACAAAACATGGCCGGGATGTAGTCGATAGAGCCAAGATATATAGCCAGGTCGTTATGCAATATTGTATGTATAGCTAAAAAATGCTGCAGATATGTGGCTCGTTTAAAGACTCCATTGGTCACTCAACCAAATATACTTATTTGCTTCTAAAGACAATTTAAAATTAGAAAAACGCATAAAGACAACGGTTTGAGACGATTTATCGTACGAGTGGCTAGCCTTTTCAGAAATGGTGGTATTTTCGTAAAAAAACGGGCTAGGTGTATACATCTACGGAGGAAGAGAGAATAAGCGTTGTCTTACCTGAGATCAAGCCCACGCCAAGGTGAGGGTTAACATAAAACAACTGTCCATGGCTGGCCTTTTGTGGTCTGGCAAACGAAAGCTATATTACTAGTTTGTTCAGTTGCGAGTGGACCATATCTACGACATCACCAGAATCGGTGGCATATAGTGGCCAAATTTCCAACAAACACCTTGCTGTTTTCACTTTTGCCGTGGTCGATTCTGGTAAAAGATGGGACTGGTGCTTATTTTGCTTATTTTGATAAGCGTGCTTTGACAAGGCTCCTGAAGATGGCACTCATGCACACACAACAAGAGTTAGTGTGTCTCAGTTGACGTTCAGGTATGCCACAGTGTGGCACACGCGCCTCAGATTGTCCTGATTGCGGAGTTTTCACATAACAACAATTACGGCTTCTACCTAAGATACCCATTGTACATCAAAACGAGTCTTTGGCGTGGTTTTGTTTTTCTTTGTCTTCTCTTCTTGCCCTGGAGGTTTACTAAATAACATGCCTTTAAAACCAGGTATTTGCTTGCTCTTCAGAATATAAATGAGCAGTTAAAGGAACATATATACGATCATTAAAGGCAAGTGGATAAAAAATCACTATTTCCCCGGATGAAATTAAACCTTGGCGCAATTATTTGGGCTCTGAAAGATTGAGGGCGAAGTAATTAAGTATTATAACAATCCTCTTATATAAGGATGAAAGTATTCTCTTTCATTAAAAGGGAATTTTATTAATGGAAATATGGAATTCCATTAAACAAATCCTGTGATGAAATTAACATTCCATTTTGAGCCGTTGAAAATACTAAAATAATCAAGTCGTCTAAGTCATAAATTATGGACTAAGGCATGTCATGAGTATTTTTGAAAGGGGATGACTTTAATGATTAGTATTCTCAAAAAATATCAAAAAAGTTCTTGCAAGGTTGTGTCAAGATGCTTTCCTATCGTTCCACTGTTTCCCGGAAGATTCATATTATTAGTATTAACGTCGGTATTCTTCGGAGATCGCTTTTAACTCTAGCATTGTTTCTAGTTCAACATAAATGATCCAGTTTACGGTAAACCGTATGGACAGTTAGACGATAAATACCTATATGCTCATAATTGTGGTCTAGGCGTATAGTCTCAAATTATTCATCTTGACAAAATGGCCTCTAACTGTTGGTTGTATCCATTATTTACTGTACCTATATGAAATTTTCTAGAAATACTAGAATTGCAATGATAATTACCGAAAAAGGACTTTTGAAAATATGATATTTTTAGGGTAACCCACTCTTTTCCTTCATCTCTATGCATTACTTTTCCACCGAGATATGATCAGATGGCGTGATGGCGCAAAATAGTACAAATGTCAAACCACGCTAAAATATCTTCCTTCTTGAGCCCTCTCGGGCTAAATCTCACAAAGTGAGATAAATATTTTAAACTAGTTTCAACAAACATTTTGTGAAGATTTCTATATTTTTAGGATACAATGAAAAGACACGTTTTTTTCCATATTTTTAGAATTCTAATTGTATCAGGTGGGCTGAGGATTGGTTTT